AAGCACTCAAAGAATCACGAGGCACAACCAAATACGAAGCAAAATAAGATGACACATAGAAGTGTGTAGACCCTGGATCAAATAGAACTGAAGCATCTCTACTACAAACTGAAACCATACCTGTGATAACTGCATTGGATGCCTCTGCCTCAAGCTTGGCTGGGAAAGCATAATATCGGGGCTAGGCCCCACCACTTTGAACTACATCCCCGAGACGGCCTCCTGTTGGTTGGCCTCCACCTCTAGCAGCCTAACTTCCACCTCTAATGGCCTAACCTCCACCTCTAACACCTCGACCTCCACCTCTAGTTGTCTGACCACCTACCTCTAGTTGTACGAGCGGGCAGTGGAACACCTGGTGCCTGAACCATGGCACGAAAACCCTGATGTTGAGAACTGCTCGATGCTCGAGGGCAAAATCTAGCAATGTGCCTCGGATTGCCACAAGTATAACAAGTCCTCGGCTTCTAGGACTACTGACCCTGAAACTGACCCTGATGGCCTAAGTAACCGCCCTGAAAGCTCTAGAATAGAGGTGCACTGGTAGGAGTTGGTGATGCATTGTAGGGTAGCTGATCAGAATACTACATGTGAGAACCACGACCACCTGGAGCACCATGAGAAGCCTGAAGTGCTGAATGAAATGTCCTGGGAGGGTGGCCCCTACCAAAAGAATCCCTACCTCCAGACGAGGCGCCACTGAACCTGCCTGAATGACGAGGCCTTTTGTCAAACCCCTGACCACTCCCCTGTGATAGAACCATCTCAACTCACCTGGCCACATTGGCTGCATCCTAGAAAGAGATCTCACTCCATGTCTCCTTATCCATCTGCAATATGATAAGATGAGCTAGTCCCTCAATAAAACTCCTCACCATCTCTCTCTCTCAGTGGAAAGTATAAGAAGAGAATGACAGGCCAAGGCAATAAATCTGGTCTTGTACTGAGTGACAGTCATAGAACCCTGCTGGAGACGCTCAAACTGCCTCCGATAGTCCTCCCTCGGAGTGATAGGAAGAAACTTCTCCAGAAATAGTTGAGAGAACTGATCCCAAGTCAAAGCCGGTGACCCATCTGACCTAGCCAAGCAATAATCCTTCACCAAGTCTTAGTGAAACCTGACAGATGAAAAGCAGCAAAGTCGACCCCATTGGTCTCCACTATCCCCATATTCCGTAGAACCTCATGACACCTGTCCAAATAGTCCTGGGGATCCTCTAAAGATGTACCACCATATGTGGTAGTGAAAAGCTTGGTGAACCTATCCAATCTCCACAAAGTCTCAGAAGACATAGCTTCTCCATCATCGGTCTGAGCTACAACACCCGGCTGAACTACCCTAACTGGTTGAGCTGCTGGAGTGTGAAACTGGGGAGCCATCTGCTCTGGAGTGCGAGAAGAAGGAGTCTGGCCTTCTCCAGCCTGAGAAACAGTTGGTGCTACAGGAAATATGCTCGCCTGAGTGACACTCTCCACAAGGCCCACTAGACGGACCAGAGCATCCTGGAGTACCGGGGTGGCAATGAACGCCTCTAGAACCTGAGTTGGCCCTGCTGGAACTGTCTGGGCCAGAACCCCCTCCTCGAACTCTACCTGAGGCTCCATCGTTGGTGCTGCTGCTCGATCTCGGGGCTGAGCCCTGCCTTTACCTTGGCCTCTAGCACGACCTCGGCCTCTGCCCCTTGCAGGAGCTACTACTAGGGGCTCTGGCTGCTGGTCAGCTGATGAAGTGGTACGTGTTCTTACCATTTGCGAAAGAACAGAGTGGAAGTTCAATTAGCAATCAAGTCGCACGATAAGAAAGAATAGATGTGAAGTTTTTCCTAAACTCTGTAGCCTTTGGGGGATAAGTACAGACGTATCCGTACCGATCCCTCAAACTCTATCTAGGTTGTTCGCGAATTGTGAGACCTAGGCAATATAGAGCTCTAATACCAACTTGTCACGATCCGGATTTCCCACCCTTGGGAGTTGTGATGGCGCCTACTCGTGAAAGGTAGGTAAGCCGACAATTACGGTTGTTACCACCATGTTTATTCATCACATTGAATCTGATATTAGCTAAGCAACATAATTAAGAAATGCGTAAGTGACATAGCAAACCAATAGTCTAATACATAACTACTCCAAAGATCGGGTGTCACAATCCACGAACGACTAATATTCTTACTACAAATAAAAGTCTGAAAAAAGTATAACTGTTCTCGAAATAAAAGAGACAGGAGAAACTAAAACGGGGAGAAGGGGTACTTTAGGCTCTGTGAATGCTAGCAGATCTACCTTGATCTCCCTGGACTGAAGGCAGCTACCTCAAGCAACTCACAAGGTCCAACACCGTAATCTGCACAAAAGAATGTAGAGTGTAGTATCAGTACAACCGACCCCATGTACTGGTAAGTGTCGAGCCTAACCTCGGTGAAATAGTGACGAGGCTAGGACACGACAACCATATGAACCTATGCAGATAATTCATATACGAACAGAACAATAATAACAGGAAATAACATATAAAGATGGGGAAGGGACATGCTGCGGGGAATATCAAATTCTAACAGTAAACCAAATAGATAAGCATAATGAACACCATATTTGTATCATCAAGAATAATGAAACAATAACACGTGCACGGCATCATCCTTCATGCATTACCTCTCATAATCATGGCACGACATCACCTTTCGTGCATTAACTCTGACAACATTGGGCATACGACATCACCCTTCATGCATTAGTTCTCAAATCATGGCACGACATCATCCTTCGTGCATTAACACTCACATAATCTGCACGGCATCACCTTTCGTGCATTAACACTCACTCACAATATCATGCATGACATCACCTTCGTGTTTTACACTCTTCCTCGCCCAAACAGTAGAACAATGCATCCCTGCAAGGGAATCAACAATAGAAACAATAACATCCCGGGAAGGGAATCAGCTATAACCAATATCGTTTCAACAGTTACTTCACAAAATAAATCTCAACTTGAGCCAATACTTAACAATGATCAATTACCAAGAAATTATCATAAATCATGTTCAACAGTGCTATTCATCAACTCAAGCATGGGCAGTACATAACCAGAGTCACAACAATCATAGTATAAGACTCACGGGCATGCTTGACACCAACGTATAAATACTCGTCACCACACCTATACGTCGTACTCAACATCTACACGTAGCAAATAAAACCACAATTCTTATTCCCTCAAACTAAGGTTAGACCAAACACTTACCTCAATTCCTCGAACAAAATCAAGCCTCAAATACCGCTTTACCTCTCGGTTCCACTTCCAATCCGCTTGTATCTAGTCATAACTTACTTAATAACATCAATAAATGCTAAATAAACCAATTCTAATGCATGAATATCGATTTCTCAATGCTTTTCCCAAAAGTCAAAAATCGACCTTGTGCCCGCTTGGTAAAAAACCGAAGTTCAAACCAAAACTCGATCACCCACTAACCCACGAACCCAAATATGCAATTAGTTTTGAAATCCGACCTCAAATTGAGGTCCAAATCCCCAAAATTTGAAAATCCTAATTTCTACCCAAGAACACCCAATTTCCCATGAAAAACCTAGATTTTGAAGTGAAATTATGTAAAAAGATGAATTAAATTGAAGAAGATGAGATAGAAATCTCTTACCTAAGATTTGGAGAAGTTTAAGCCTTTGAAAAATCGCCTAAGGATGTTTAGGCTTTGAGAGAAGTGAAAAATGATGAAAAATCCCGTCTGAAATCTCAATTAACAAGTGCAGTTATCGCAATTACGATTAGGAGTTCGCAATTGTGAACCCTGTAAATTTCTGCTCCCTTCGCATTTGCGACAATTACGTTGCATTTGCAACTCCTGTGATCTTCGCATTTCTAGCCAGAGTGTCGCATTTGCGAGAATGGCCTACCCAGGCCTGGGTCGCATTTGCGACATATTGGCCGCATTTCCCAGGCCTGTTCACTTCGCAATTGCGAAGCTAGATCTCGCAATTGCAAGATCAGAGGCCTGTGCAAAAATATCAGATGGACAACTGAGTTTCCTAAGTCCAAATCACACCGTGGCCTATCAAAAACTCACTTGAGCCTTCGGGGCTCCAAACCAAACATGCACGCAAGTCTAAAAATATCATACGGACTTGCTCGTGCGATCAAATCATCAAAATAACATCAACAACTACGAATTTAACCTCAAATTCATGAAATTCATAAGATAGTTCAAATTTTTCCATTTTCTCAACCTAAGGTCCGATATATATCAAATCAACTCCGATTCTTACCAAATTTCACAGATTCGACTTAAATATTATTTTAAACATGTACCGGGCTCCGAAATCAAAATACGGGCCTGATACCATCAAGAACACACATTATTTTATTTCCAAAAGTCTTTATCTTTTTCAGCAAATAATTTTCTTTAAAAAGTTCTTTTCACGGCCTAAGGACATGGGAATTCAATTCCGGGCATACGCTCAAGTCTTATATTTTATTACGGACTCTACGAGACCGTCAAATCACGGGTCCGGATTCGTTTACCAAAAATATTGACCGAAGCCAACTTTAATCAATTTTAAAGGTCAAATTCAATATTTCACTTAAATTTCACATAGAAGCTTTCCAAAACGCGCCCGGACTGCGCACACAAATCGAGGTGAGACAAAATGAGGTTTTTAAAGCGTAGGAATACAAATTTGACTTCTAAAATTTGGTCATTACATTTGCTCTCTTATTTTGTTAATTTGTTGGTTGCGCTGTCACGTTCGTTCAAATTTTGGTTACAGATTTCTGGATTTTTTTACTCGTCCAGTAATTCTCATGAACTGTAGTTCGAAATTTTGCAACAACTATAAGATTCCGAATACAAGTATATATCATTTCAGTCAGCATGGAACTACTGAGAGTTATAATTTGAAATTTAAATTTAAACAATAGCTATATCAATAGTATCATCTTGGTTTCATTGGGAAACTAAGATCTGTAACCATATTGTACCTTTTTATTGCATTGAAGTGTCCAAAAGCATGTGTGGAAAATATGTGATAATATCGCTTTATGTACAGAGTGCAAATGTGCTTTAGTTGAACATGTAAAAAAAAGTATCATGTTGTATATGAAAGATCCTAAGCATCCAATTTTTGCCAACTACAAAAATCTTGAACGTACTCCTTGGAGGATGATCCTCCCTTCATGTATTTGATGGGGACGTAAATCCGTGATATTTAATTCATTTGCTCTCCTTCTATATCCCTGCAACAGAAAAGCACCATTAGCAAATTAAATGCCATCATCTTGCTTGCAACTCTCAAAATATTCCTAAACTTTAATTACTTTTCAATCTATATCTACTATTACAATCCATCCAACTCATACTAAGTTGTTATTCTTTGGATTTTTTAATGAAAATAACAACTCCAATTCTTGAATTTTTTTTTGTGGGTTTTTGCTTCCATTGGAAGCATACCAGGTAACATCTAGAATTGAAGCTCATTTCAACTTTGTTTCCTCTACTTCTAGCAGGTAAAAATCCAGTTTCCTTCTTTTTCCTGCAAATATGAAAAGAAAAATATCAACCAATGGTAATCAGTTCTTTAAGTGCATATTATCTGATTTTATCATATCCTGTAGCAGTACATCCTAGCACCTATTCCTGGCCTCCTATATAATCTATACACCAAGAAATAGTACTACAAAACGATAAACAGCTTGTGCAGGATAAAATTTAGAGAAAAAAAAACTTAAAAAGCTCAAACTTTTACCATCATCTGGATCTTCTTGTTTAGATGAGAAAATTTCAAATCCTTTACTAGAATCACTGTTTTTTATTTTGTAACCAGGTAGTTCTACTATGTTTAGCTAAATATGAACACCAAGTTAGCAATAGTAAGTAACCTATTATTATTTATGCAAAATTATTCGAAATGCTATAAGAATAAATTTTCAAGATGCCATTTTGGTACCTTTAGCTGTTGGACTATTTGTTGGGGCCTAGCTTCTTAAGGTGTCTCTATTTGCAAGCTCACAAGTGTGCATCTATTTTCTGCTTATAACATACTAAGATAAATTGTGATAGATTCATTCACATATCCCTGTGTTATTAAAATAGAAAGTAGTTAAGACCAGTTCACGGCTACTGGGACTTACTTCATGCCATTAAATTCTTTGTTAGATTTTTATCTTTCATTGTCGTTGTAGTGAACATTTGATAGAAACTTCCTTCTGGTAGTGGACAACTGTTGAGGATGATGTAGTTGTCATACACCAGTAAAAAGTAAATATCTACCGCAGTTGAATTTTGTTTCTGCAATTTGTATTCTTTCTGTCCACCATTCAGTGACACAAAACAAAATAGACTTAGGGATGCAAAAGTCACATATAGGGCCAAGTCAACAGAGAAAGAGATGGGATTTATGTAGCACTATCAACTGAAAGAAGGCAATACTTAACTTAATAGAAAATCCCAATAAGGGAATGTAGACATGTGATTTTTGACTTTCCCCAAGATTTTTCATATTTTAGCGTAAATATTCAGTTTAGGTTTAGTATCGCTCTCTTTACTTTATTTTATCTATAAAAAAGAAAAAAGAAATTACAAAAATATTTTCCCTTATTCTAGCTAGATGATATTTTGTCTAGTTAGTTTTATTTTTGAAAAATACAAAAATAGTCTTGGCATTTTATTTTCCAAAAAAAAAAAAAATATGAAGAAAAGTTCAAAAAAATATTTTACATTTTAGTATATATTGAGTAGTATTTAAATTTCATTAATATGGTAATTATATGTCTTCTCTAAACATTTTTATTATCTTAAATATACTAGTATCTTTATAAAGTTATTTTTAATTCATTTTTAAATCAAAGGAAAAGAAAAATGAAAAAAAGAATTTTGATTTGGTCTTCCTGCCTCAAAGTTAATTAGCCCAAATTGATGACCTAAATCCCTTCAAGCCCAAAACATTGAGTCCATACCACATTCCTTATTTGACCTAACCTAATTCATACCCCTATAAAAGAACCCCTAACTCCTAAAATGAAAAAGACCTTCTTTTCTCAGAAATTGAAAACACACACTCAAAAAAGAAAAACGGAAAAAGCAAAGAGAAGATCTGGAAAAAAAGAGAACGAGAGTGAAAAGGGAACGGCCAGAATTTCAATAAAAGTTGGTGCATTCTGTTGGGAGACAACTTTTCTATCTCTAATTGGCTCAAAAATCTTACTCATTGAGCAATTGAAGCAAAGATTGCAACAGTCAAATAACGGTCAAGTTTAGCATTTGCGAGGAAACCACCTAGATGGCCAAGAAGATTAATTGTACCCATAAAGTTGGTGACAATGTTGGCGGATTTGGAGGCTGGAAGATGTAACTCTCCAACCAAATTTTCCTCTTCATCTTTAATTTCCTCCACCATATGAACTGTTATATTTTCCACCAAGAAATACATTAGCTGGGCATTTTAGCGAATACCTTCTTCGCATGGTTTAATTAAGTTACCACTGTTCCTTCCTTTTCGACTAGCAGAAATAGAATTCCACTAGCGAACTGAAAACTCAGTCCCCGCAACCCTTTTCCCTGTCACCACTTTAGTAAGAGATAGAGCACCCCACAACAGACTCCCAACCAATTCCAAATCTGTACGCAGCTCAAGATGGTGTGAGTCGAGCAAAGAAGTCTGCGAGGTAACGAGTTGTCGGCGAGGCATCCGTTAGAGGTTTCCCGGTCAAGCTCGGGTCCCTTTTCATGTTGCCATCGCTGTAATTGAAGAGAGATCTACTCGTTGAGGTCCATTTCTCCCCTTTTATTTTTGTATTTAATGGATCATGCCTAATCTTGTTTTACGTGTGTATTTGTGGATGATGGATAGATTTTCTTCAATACTTTAGTTTGTTGTGTTTAGCTATAGTCACTATTAATTAGAATGGTTATTATATAGGTTTTCGGCTCATTATTCTAGTCATGAGAGAAAGGTGTTGTAACTAAGATTTGAACATAACTGATGACTATTCGTTTAGCAAATAGATAAGTTTTTTTTAATAATCAATTCCAATTCCTCAATTATTCTAGTATTTGTTATAAACCAGATCTTTAGCCGCTTCAAGTTGACGCAGTTTCACCAACGAATTTCTTTCCAACATATGATATCCATGGCCGAATCTCAAAACTTAGAATAAATAATTATGAATATGCGTAGTTGCTTTAGCCGCGATTAATAATAATCATCGTGAATATGGGTACGGTTCCCGTGGCATGGTCACGATACGTAAATCCCAATCCGGGTGTACATTTATGTGATCCAAATCCAAATCTCAACAACGTTAGATAAAATGTGTCGTAGATCGCGGGTGCATTTATGTGACGTGGTTCAAGACGTGTTTTTGAGGACGTTGAATCTTCCTAAAATTAATTAAAAGCGGTTGATAATTTAAAATTATATCATAACCTAAAACACGTATTAAAATCAAGTAATAGGCCAAATATAACAGTCGAGCGACCGTGCTAGAACCACGGGACTCGGGAATGCCTAACACTTTCTCCCGGGTTAACAGAATTCTTTACTCGGATTTCTGTGTTCGCGGACTGTAGTACAGAGTCAATCTTTTCCTCGAGTCGGGATTTGAATCGGTGACTTGGGACACCATAAAATTATCTCAAGTGGCAACTCTGAATTTAATAAATAAATAATCCCGTTTCGATTGTCACTTTAAGTTAGAAAAACTCCCTTATACCCTTCCGGGGTGTAGGAAAAAAGAGGTGTGACAGCTCCTTTTTCTTTTTTGCAACATTGAATTTAAGGGGATTTTTTTTTTATTTTCTCTTTTTTTCTCTCTTTTTTTTTCCTTTCCCTATTCTAGAAGCTAGTCAATATGCAAGCCGAAACAGATAAATATACAAGTAGCACGTAAGATGCATCAGGATGGTCTTTTTATTTCGGGTACACTTGTCCTAGACAGACTCAACCCCTGTGTTGAGTCTCCAAAGTCAAATGCACATGATGCAAACAAACGTTCCTACTAGGGATCTGGCATGAGGCTGAGTTATTCTGGTTTAAAACCTGGGCATATTGTTCTAGACCTGGCTTACCCGAGCGGACAACTCAAGCCGAGAGAGGGCAGCATACCGGTAACTAAAAGATCATTTGGCTTTGCAACTTGTCCGAACCTCGTTCTATTTGGGATATGATACTAACAGAAAGAAGTCACGACCAACGTGCACTCCTTGGGAGAGAGAAGAGAGGGGTTTCGTAGCATTTTATATATACAGTTCAAATAATATCAAAGCAGTAAAAAGTAACATTTAGCACATTAGGCTCAAACATGTAATAAAATCAAATAACAGAAACCAAATATAATAATTCGTCTAAGCTCGAATTCTTGAACCCTGAACCAGAGATTCTGGGTTCGGTCCTCAGCAAAGTCGCCAGAGCTGTCACACCTCCTTTTTACCTACACCCCCGGAAGGGAGTATATAAGGGATTTTTTCCAACTTAAAGTGACAATCGAAACGGGATTATTTTATTAAAAATCAGAGTCGCCACTTGGGATAATTTTATGGTGTCCCAAGTCACCGGTTCAAATCCCGAATCGAGGAAAAGATTGACCCTGTATTACAATCCGCGAACACAAAAATCCGGGTAAGGAATTCTGTTAACCTGGGAGAAGGTATTAGGCGAGTTCCGTGGTTCTAGAACGGTCTCTCAACTGTTATTATTGACCTATTACTTGATTTTAGTACATGTTTTAACCTATGGTGCAATTTTAACTTTATAACCGCTTTTATTAATTATTTTTAGGAAAAAATTCAACGTCATCTAAAACACGTCTTGAACCACGTCACATAAATACACCCGCGGTCCGCAACATATTTTATTTAACGTTGTTGGGATTTGGATTTGGGCCACAAAAATGCGCACCCGAGTTTAGGAAGGTAAATTATTAAAAGAACGCGCCTAAAGCAACTACGCATCTTCAACTTTGTGAGGGCCATGAAAATTCGACTAAATGGCACACCTCGATTTCTAAGGATTTTAAAAGAAATAATTAAGCGAGGGCCATTGCGTTTGAAGATTTTATTCGGCATGGCACACCTCGATTCTACTTGTTAAAAATCTAATTAATTAAGGGAAAACTTATGAGAATTCTATTATTATTTTTAACTAAGGGTTCTACCCTACAAGTTTACTAAAACGCATTGTATTAGAGAATTAAAGGCCCAAAGGGAAACTACTTCAATCATACCACTGAACAGACCCCTTTTTAAAAATGTCCTCCAGCTTTGGGCTCAAGCCAAACCCAATTCCTGATGAAGAAAGGCGCCCAGGGGTCATACCCTTCAGCTGGGCCTGTGCTAAGCCCGGTTTCTAGGCTCCAAATTATTATGCTAAACCAGAATGCCAATCAACTAATACCAGCATGGAACATGAAGTCGAATTAGCAGGTTAATCCATGGTTTAAAACAATCGGCACAAATTAATTAAAACAAAGTTCTGATTTTATTTTTAGCAAGCAATTGAATCAGGTCTGCTATATGATATGAACAACAATACAAGTTATTGGGCTCAGCAGACAAGCCCAATGCATCCAACGTGCCATCTTCTTTTGTAAATGGCCCAGAAGTCTAAGGCTTCATGAACCAAAGACTTGCAGAACCAAAATTGGAAATCAGGACTCAATGTCGAGTCCTATCCAATACATAAGCCTCCACAAGCGATTAGCTCACCAAACACTTCTATCATCACGTGCATTGATAACAAGCAACAGAGGTTCATGCTCGTATTTAATCTCCAAACTAATCCCACAAACAAACATAGGAAATTTAAGCTCACTTAGACCCTTTAAAAAGGCAGTTTTAACTAAGTACAATACTATAATGCTTTCCAAATTGCAAAGCAGGACCCTGGACAACACTTCAATTTGACAAATTATGATTTCAAACTATAGGAATACTAAACTGATACCCTCAAGCAATCTTCCACTACAACATATCTAACAGTTCACTCATACAATAGAGTTCAAACATTATTACAATATTCTGAATTTTAAACATCTATCCTAAATAACCAACATCACCTTAAGCCACTACATGAACAAGCAAACCAACACATACAAGGGAACTAAATTACTACAAAACTGGGGAATTTAATAATATAAGATAGCAGAAACTAGCAGTAATTACAGCAAGAACTAGTGTTTCCATTTAAATTCCAATTCAAGTTTCCATATCTTTACACAGATTCAGTCAGGCTTCAATTCCATGACAGCTTCAAAGGCAGAATTTGCAAAGGAAAAAGAAATGAAGGATCAGCAGTAAACAATAGCAGAATACAGCCCCAGATTCAATCAATCGAACAATGAAATTAGCCCAGGGAAACCAATGGAATAGTGACCAATCAGCAGAACTTAAACCAAAACTCTTTTCAAGACCCAAATTCAATCCATTTCAAATCCCAGAATGAGAATGCTAATGATTT